TAGAGGGTGGCCACCTTATCTTACTCACTTCTTAGTCCTCAAGCATACTGGACCTTTTTACAGCGGCTGTTTCCTGGCTTTTAGAAAAAAAAAACTCGTCAAAAGCCAGGAAACTCCCCATCATGTTATCCTATGTGTCCATACACACATAGACTGTAAACCGTATTTTTTGGCTGGAAAAAAAAGAACTAGTGTGTTTTCTAGAGGAGTTTTTGTAGCATTAAAAAACGCTCTAACGCTGTAAATCACGGCAAACTGACGTTTTTGGATGTTTCCTTTTTTTTAGCAAAAAAGTTGTTGTTTTCTTTTGGGTCAAAAAAACCTGCTAAAAACAAAAACGCCGCGAAGCGCTAATTAAAAGCCGCTGAAAAACTCACATTTTTAACGTGACTTTTACAGCGTTATTAAAACTCCCTGTGTGCATGGAGCCATAGATGGACTATGGGATCTGTAGTGTGCATAGAGCAGAGCACATGACCAAAACAAATTGAAGTGAGGGGGAAAAAAAAGGAGAGGTTTGGGAGCTTAGAGGGTGACATACACACCTTTTTAAAAACATTTTAATTTTAAATGGCGCACCGTGAAAACCCATCTCTTCAGAGAAGCCTACCCCGTCCTCACCTAATTGCCCATCTCCTCCTCTCTTCCCACCACTCCATCCCCCACAGCTATTTCCTCCTGTACCTCTATCCCTTCCCTCCTAGATTGTAAGCTCCAAGGAGCAGGGCCCTCGAACCCCTCGTGTATTGTATTGTTACTGTGCTGTCTCGTGTACTGTCTCCCATTATAATGTACAGCGCTGAGCAAACTGGCAATATATAAATACTGTATAATAATAATGTCTTCTTTTAAAGTGGTAATAAAGTCAAGATTGACAGGCAGACCCTGGTGGTCTCTTCTGTCATAAATGTCCCCGCTGCTTGTCGGGGTAATATGATCTGAGATGTACATGCGCAGCTCACACCACATTTACGGCCCACTCTGTGGGCCACACGATGTGACTCCCATGTGCATTTTTGGGAGGGACGTCATCGTGACCCGGCCATTCAGATGACCAAGGATACAAAACCTGGAACGAAGAACAGGTGAAAACTGAAGCTGCTGGGGACCAGGGGACCGCTGTCAGTGCAGCGTTGGAGGGCTATGTTTGTAGGCACGTCTGTCATAATGTACTAATATACAGTGCATACTAGTACATGAGGCAGGGGAGCCCATTTTCTGCTTTTAGCAGGAAGACTTTTCTACCACTTTAATGTCAACAACATGTATAAATCCTCTTTTTATGCACCAAAGTGAATACCCAGTTTTATACAGTTCTGTAAGCCCAGAGATTACCATGCAAATGTAGTGCTGACCTTATCACAGTGCTGTACAGAGAGCAGAGCTATGGAAGAGGCCTGGCAGGCCCACCCATTACAGGCAATCAACAGAAAACTGCAGGAGGGGGCGGATACAGGACCAGTCACCCTGTACAAGGGGAGAGCAGCAGTGATGAGTCTGTTACTGCACAGTTCTAGAAAACAAAAACTCATAAAGATTAGAGTAAGCTGCTCTGTATTTACACCGTATTGACTTTGTCTAATGTGTTGCGCAACCAGCATAATTTTCTTTCTTTACTTTACAAGTCTGTTTAAATCTCCATGGTGGCTTTGCTGTTCAGTGTTCTCCTATAACTTAAAGCAGTATTAGACCCCATGTACATGACCGTTCCTAAACTAGAGTTTAAGACCTTTTTAGCCTTTTTTTTTTTTTTTGCCAAAGCTCCTAAACTCAACTCCATAAAAGCCTATATGTCCATGTACACATAGGCTTTTAGCAGAGTTTAGGAGCTGCCACCTCTAGGTGAGGTTAAACCTCCCTCTCCTGAACACAGAAGAATCGCGTTCAGGATAGGAACGTTTTGACCGTGGGAAAACGTGGCTGCCACAATTTGCATTTTCACGCGGTCAGGGTAAGCTTGTGTACATGGAGCCTATAAAACCCAAAATCAAAAATGTAATATATTGGAGCTTAGTAGTCATTTGGAGTGGTGGTTGCATTAGTTTTCTTTAGGCTTTTTTCCCCTCTGTTTCCACCTGATCTGGCCAGTAACACACCTGCATTCGAGTGCTCCCACTCTGGATGAAGGAGCACAGGGGGGCCACCTTTGGACCCACACAGTGGCATACGGGACCCGTAGGCATGTGCCATTAATTTTAACAGCATGCTGACCGCACTGGAAATCGCACCCGCACTGGGAACCTCTGTTCACATGCAGGCTGCAATTTCCAAAGTAGCGCAGGGACTTCTTTCCTGTGTGTCAAATGAATAGGTTGTTGTGCCCGCGCACACATGGCTGGGATAAAGGTTTTACATAAATATAATCTGATCGTTGTAAGCACCCCTGTCAGTGGTAAATGTTTTGTCTCTTCCCTGTAACTGCTACATCTGCAGGACAACTTTGTTCTGCTGAAAAATGAGTTACTGACAGGATCATCAGGTGATGATAATAAAGGAAAGTAAATCTAAAAAAGAAAACTGATGCAGCCAACAAATCTAAGAATTGGTAAATTGCAGTATAATAAATGTTTGCTTTTGGCTTTAATACAGATTAATTAACCCATATACCCAGGGGCGGACTGACCATTCGAGCACTCGGGCAGTGCCTGGGGGCCCCATGAAATGCCCTTGGTACCTTTTTTTTTTTTTTTTTTTTTTTTTTTTTTTTAAGGCTTTTTTGGGTGTGCTTTGAGTGTGGGCAAGGACACGGGCCCCATGATCCCCTATTGCCCGGGGGGGCCCCATGAGTTGTCAGTCCGCCCCTGCATATACCCATGACTAAATATCTGTTCTGGGCTGAGTTAAAGTAGTTACCATATAGGTGGATGACGAGAACACCGTTTAGATCATTCAACAATTTTTTTCCTTGCAATTAATAGTGTCCTGGAAAAATACACTCCTAATGTGGTTGTGTGTTTTTCCACACCACAGAAGGATCTTTGTTTATTTTTAATGTGCTATTTATAAGTGGGCGTAGTCAGATTCCTAATATAGCCAAAGGTTTTATGTAGCAATTTTCTTAAAATTACACATCCCCTGCTAAGGTTTGTATGGTGTTATCTTGGAAATCATTCTGACACATAACCAAGTCAGTCATTTTTTTATTTTATTTTTTTTTTTCCATGAGGTGTCAGGATGTCTCTTTATATAGCAACCCTTTTTAGCCATTCCTTCCCAACCTTCTTCCCTTTGTTATAAGGTAGGGTAAATGACTAGTGGTGTATTGGAGAGGATCAAAAAGCACAGACCACGGAATGAATGAAGCAGAAGCAGGGAGATGATTGTCCTCTAGGTCATTAGTTAGAGCAATAAGAACAACAAAATAATAATATCACCAAATCACACCTCGGATCTTGTAAAACTAGCAGTCAGAAGCAGCAGTACTTTAGCTCTCACACTATAGATATGAGGTTCAAAGCACTCTATTTTGTCAGGAGGAATTTAGAGAAAAGGTGGATTTATTTAGGACACTGCTTGAAGGGTTAGTTCACCTTTTTACAGAAAAATCTAAAGGTGAACTAACACCAGATCCCCCTGTCTCCACTATACTTACAGGGTTCTAAACTGTGAGCAACACAGAAGCCAGTCCAGCGGTCCTATCTTAAAATTTTATATTAAAATGTTACTAAACCCGGGACCCTTCATCCACTATATCACACTATAGCACAGTGGCTAAATGGTTAGCACTTCCGCCTGGCACTACCAGGGTCATTGGTTCGAATCCCAGCCACGGCACCTTCTGCCTGGAGTTTGCATGTTCTCCCTGTGCCTGTGTGGGTTTCCTTCGGGAACTCTGGTTTCCTCCCACACTCCAAAGACATGCTGGTAGGTTATTTGGATCCTGTCTAAATTGTCCCTATTGTCCATACACCAGTATGTGTATGTATGAATGTAAGTTAGGGACCTTAGATTGTACGCCCCTTGAGGGTTAGGGACTGATGTGAATGTACAATATATATGTAAAGCGCTGTGTAAATTGATGACGCTATATAAGTACCTGAAATAAATAATAAATAATACTGTGATTTTGTGGAGCAAATCTCTATAGTCTCAAGTTTCAGTTGTGATGGTCTTCTGAAAGCTTACCATCTTCTCTCGCATGGGTCTGACCATAAAGCTGATCGAAGACTGGAACAGCTCTGATCATCTCTACAGTCTAAGAAACTGGAAGTGATGAGCACTTCATCTACTGGTTTTGCGGATGTACGCAAACCCTTATAGTTTAGAAAAATCAGGTCATACCGATCTTGGTATGATCTGAAGCTTTTAAGGGCAGAGGAGAGATCTGGGGTCTAATCCCACATCTCACATTAAAGCAGGGGTCCTCAAACTTTTTAAACGGGGCCAGTTTACTATGCCTCAGACCGTTGGAGGGCCGGACTATAGTTTAAAAAAACTATGAACAAATGCGGACACAGTACAGGAGATGACCAGAGACTGCGGACACAGTACAGGAGATGACCAGAGACTGCGGACACAGTACAGGAGATGACCAGAGACTGCGGACACAGTGCAGGAGATGACCAGAGACTGCGGACACAGTACAGGAGATGACCAGAGACTGCGGACACAGTGCAGGAGATGACCAGAGACTGCGGACACAGTACAGGAGATGACCAGAGACTGCGGACACAGTACAGGAGATGACCAGAGACTGCGGACACAGTACAGGAGATGACCAGAGACTGCGGACACAGTACAGGAGATGACCAGAGACTGCGGACACAGTACAGGAGATGACCAGAGACTGCGGACACAGTACAGGAGATGACCAGAGACTGCGGACACAGTACAGGAGATGACCAGAGACTGCGGACACAGTACAGGAGATGACCAGAGACTGCGGACACAGTACAGGGGATGACCAGAGACTGCGGACACAGTACAGGGGATGACCAGAGACTGCGGACACAGTACAGGGGATGACCAGAGACTGCGGACACAGTACAGGGATGACCAGAGACTGCGGACACAGTACAGGGGATGACCAGAGACTGCGGACACAGTACAGGGGATGACCAGAGACTGCGGACACAGTACAGGGGATGACCAGAGACTGCGGACACAGTACAGGGGATGACCAGAGACTGCGGACACAGTACAGGGGATGACCAGAGACTGCGGACACAGTACAGGGGATGACCAGAGACTGCGGACACAGTACAGGGGATGACCAGAGACTGCGGACACAGTACAGGGGATGACCAGAGACTGCGGACACAGTACAGGGGATGACCAGAGACTGCGGACACAGTACAGGGGATGACCAGAGACTGCGGACACAGTACAGGGGATGACCAGAGACTGCGGACACAGTACAGGGGATGACCAGAGACTGCGGACACAGTACAGGGGATGACCAGAGACTGCGGACATACAACGGCAGGAATACTGGGCCGGCCGCTCTATAAGACACACTGACATTTCCCCCCAAGTGTGTCTTATGGAGCGAAATATACGGTAAATGCAGGACACCTTGTTGGGTCAGATCTGTGTACACTTCACACATCTGGGACCCCGGCTGTCACCAGGATATGAAGGTGACTCCAGGGAGGGGGCATTCCACAGGAGGACCGAAATGCTTCTCATATATGGAGTCCATCCTCGTTATCAGTATTCACCCAAAACTCTGTGCTCTGCTTCATACATGGGGGGGTCAGTGTATATAGAATAGATGGGGTCATGGGGGGTCAGTGTATATAGTGTATATACACTGACCCCCCCCCCCCCCCCCATGACCCTGACCCCCCCCCCCCCTTCCCATCTATTCTATATACACTGACCCCCCCATGACCCCATCTATTCTATATACACTGACCCCCTATGTATGAAGCAGAGCACAGAGCGGTATCTGGATGAAATCCTTAGACTCATTGTCAGACTCCACGCTGGTGCAGTGGGTCCTGGGTTCGTCCTGGGGCACAATGTCCGGCTTCATGTGGCGAGAGTATGCAGGCAGTTCCTGGAGGATGAAGGAATTGATACCATTGAATGGCCCCCACGCTTGTCTGAACTAAATCCAATAGAATCCTCTGGGATATCATGTTTCAGTCCATCTGAATCTGCCAGGTTGCACCTCCAGACTGTCCAGGAGCTCAGTGATGCCCTGGTCCAGATCTGGGAGGAAATACCCCAGGACACAATCTGTTGTCTCGTTAGGAGCGTTCCCCGACATTGTCAGGCATGCATACAAGCACATGGGGCCCATACAAAATACTGCGTACCATTTTAAGTTGCTGCAATGAAATTTCAGCAAAAAGGATTAGCCTGCTGCATCATATTTTCACTTTGATTTTTGGGGTGTCAAAATCATCCTCCTATAGAGGACTGAATTCAAATTTCCATCAAACAATGGGGAATCCTTACGTTCCTAACACATTACCCAGTCCATATCAGTATAGATATCCAGCAAGATATTTTTCCCCATTGAAATCTGATGTGTCTTCAAAGTGTTCCTTTGAAGACACATTTTGAACATTTTTGGAGCAGTGCATATGTGTGCATATATGTATGTTGGGGGGTTGATTAATTTTCTATCACAGAATACTGATTTTTACATGTAAACCGTGTCAGAAAAGGCCTGGTCTTAGTGAATATCCAACTATATTGTCCATTGCATGATTTGGTTTAGCTTGGTCCTCTAACCACTTGGATCTTTCATACCAATGTACTCATGTTTTTTGTTTTCTTTTGTTCTGCAGGTTTTATTTAAAGCTGATGTGATGTTCCCTCAATTTCTAAGCTGAGACATTTTTTTTTTATGCACTTTATCACTGCCTGTGCCACCTGGCTGAAACTGAGCCATCACTGTGAGGACTGAAGAACGATTAGTAAAGGAACTCTGCAATGTTCCAAAAGCTCAATAGTATGTTTATGGGTGACTCCAGCAACATCTTGAGCCATGAGCCGGAGCTTAGTGAAAAAGAAGGCGAAGATGAATGGATCCTAGTGGACCTCATAGGTAGGACAAGGAGTGTTTGGTGAAATGCTCTGTATACCTGTATCTGGATACCGTGCTACACTAGTCACGTATGAAAGGGGAACACCCTTCAAACGGAACACCTTTTTTTTTTTTTTATAGTTATATAATTATGAAGTCTAAAAGAGGCCTAATTGCCCTACCATCACATCCTATAGAAAAGGAAAAGAAATCTCCCTTTTACCTCTTTTATTTGCTTAAAGTATTTGTGTGGGAAAAACAATTCTGCACATCTCTCCAATACATTCATGTCACCCTTTTTGTCTCCAAAAATACTGCGACCCCCCCCCCCCCCCCCCCCCCCCCCCCACTTTATTTATTTTTAGACATTTAAGCACATATGTCTTAAAATGATATCTGTACCACTTGCTTTGTTTTTGTCTTTCCTCATATAAAAAAACTATTACAGTACCAGCACCCTATTTCTTCACGTAGCTCCTCAGATTGTAGTTTGCAGTGAGGGAGTACCAGCATTCGTTTCCATTTAGCTTAATTTGGTAATCAATTCCCTGCTGCTTGATTAGATTCCAAGGTGATACTTTGGGAAATAATGCAAAATTACATAAATTCCAAATATCCCACTTCCCATCAAGGTGGGATCGCTTGTATACGTAGCTGAGAAAATTTGTACTTCTTTACCGTAAATGGATTTCTCTCATAACAGTGGTGACTCTTTAATTGGGAACTCCAGGAAAACTTTTTTGTCTTTTCATTTTTTAATTTTTTTACTTTTGTGTATAAAGAAGCTACCTCTAATGATGTTTACCTTAGGCTTGCATCATTGCTGTGTACTGTAAAAATCCTAGCTTCATTGATACCAGGAAAGCCAACACTATACTTCCGGTGCTGCAACAGTATAGCTGCAGCTCTCATGCACACGTGCCTCAAAATCATTTTTTCCACCCTTCCCCTCCCCTTCCCTAATCACTGAAAGCTTTCTGTGAACCATTGACAGAACCAGGGGCGGACTGACAACTCATGGGGCCCCCGGGCAATAGGGGATCATGGGGCCCGTGTCCCTGCCCTAACTCAAAAAAGCCTATGAAAAAGGTACCAGGGGCATCTCATGGGGCCCCCCACTGACCCCGGGCCCTCGGGCATTGGCGAGTTTCCAAATGGTCAGTCCACCCCTGGACAGAACACAAGGCATTCTGTGAGTGGGCAAGGGAAGTGGACAAGTGACAGTGCGACTTGTGCTGCCTGTTGTAGCACTGGAAGTATAGCACTGGCTGTACATTCCGGCATCAGTGAAACCCTGGATTTTTACAGTACACAGCAGCAATGCAGGCCTAAGATGAGCAGTATTTATATAATAAAAAAAACTGCTTTGGTAAAAAAAAAAAAAAAAAAGTTTCCAAAAAAGTAACTTTCTGAATTGTCACTCAGCAACTAATCAAAATAAAACTTTTGTTCGTGGTCTGTAATTTTTTTGGGGAATGTATAGCTCTGATTTATAGTTATAAATCCTCACAGGCACATCACCCAAGTTAGTTTTTCTGTTTGTTTGTTTTTTTGCGTGTGTTTTGTTCTGTAGCAATAAACAATGTTTTTTGTGGGGTGTTTGTGTTTTTTTTTTTTTTTTTTTTTTTTTTTTTTTTAAAGATCTGCTTCTATCCTTTTTTTTAAATTCAGCGATTTTGAGAAAATTAAACTTATGGTCCATGGAGGATGGGCAGGGGTTTTAAATAAAGAACTTTGTAAAAATAAATTAAAAATGATCACAGAGTTGTTTCATTGGCGATACTTCATCAGTTTTAATTTTTTATTTTTTTTTTCACTATTTGTATCCCTTGCCCTTCAAAGTGGATGCCTGCACTGGAACATCTGAAGAAGCCTCTACATTAGAAGAAATAGTTTTTGTTGACGAACACACCCGTATTATCCTTCACATCTGGTGCCTTGAAGCCGTTTGGAAATACTAGTGACTCATACTTTGTCCATTTCGATGCATGTCCTATGGAAGAGAGCTGGTTTGTAACTCCACCTCCCTGCTTCACTGCTGGAGAGTTGACCACTAATGAGGTGGAGACCAGCCCTATGGAGAACCTTCTTATTGAACACCCAAGCATGTCTGTTTATGCTGTTCACAATCTTTCCAACAAGCAGGCAGATACATGTGATTCAGAGTTTGATACTTCTAACAGTTTAAGGTGAGTTATTTTCTACACTCATAAATAGCATTTACTATTTTCAGCTTCCATGTTTGTCAGGCTGTTGCTGAAGGCCTTCGGTCCAAGGCAAACTGTGTGTGTGTGTGTGTGTGTGTATAGTTCTAGATATCGATGCTGTCTATTCCTGTGAAGTCCCAGAATACTACAGTGGTGCTTTTTATAAACTCTTCAGTCGACAAGACATAGTTTTACAGCAGGGAGAGCCCCAGTCCTCTCTGCTTGACAAAAGGACCAGGCCTTTGTTGAACTCCAGTCCTGTGGCATTGCCTAGGCTGGATGATATCATCAGTATGCTGCAAACAGGAGGAAACCTTTCCCAGTCTCCTTCCCCAATAGTTAGAATACATCATCGTAATGCTGCATCCAGTTACAAGGCAAGACCGCAGAAGGAAACTGATCTTAGAATGCATGAAGGTAGAAGACCTTTATAACCACTTTAAAGTGAACCCTTCTTCCAGTTCCCTAAACAAAAGATCCAGAAAATTAGTGTTGCTCTTGCTGCTGTTCTGACCTTGTGCAGCTTTTATACATGAAAGCCACAGTGCTGTTTGTCCGCCTCTCTCCTCGCCCGTTCACAGAACACTTTGTATTTTATGAATGATTAGTAGAATACAAGGCAATCTGCGACTGGGCAAAGGGAGAGTGACAGTCCACTAGAAGTGCTGTTTCTTTCTGTGTATGGGAGCTGCAGCTCTTACATTCGCAGCGCTGGAAGTATAGTGAGAGTTATACTATTCTGCCTCAATGAACGTATAAATATTAAAGCATAGTACTTACAGTGGCACACATCCCATCACACTCAGCATTTATTTACTCTGCAGATTAAAAATAAATACCTGGAGTTCTGCTTTAAATTTTCATTGGGCAAATACAGTGTAAGTATTTGACTCATATGAGTATATCCCTTGATCTATCTATAGAGATGTAGGAGTTAGAAACTTTTCCTCAAATCCTGTTTTGAGAGTCCAGGAATGTTTTGGGACCATTTATTTTTTTTTTTTTGTAAGTTCCAGTCACTTGTTGAAGGTATTTAACCATATGTGATAATAGTTTGTAGGTACTGGAGGAAAGAAGTAGTTCCTTTTTGGGTGCATTTAATTTTTTTTTTTTTTTTTCATTTTTAATTGAATCCTGATTTGGAATGTTCAAAAGTGTTTTTATTAATGCACTATGCTTATTTATTTGGGGGATATATTTTACTTTACAAAACACCCACTGAAGCCCTTCTAGTATTCTGTGTAATTCTGTTCTATTGGGATTCATCCAAATTGAGCTATTATTTGATGTCTGAAGGGAGGATCAAGAAAGGATTACCACGTTTTTTGCTGCATACTTGTACCAGGTTAGAAAGTATTGAAACCAGACACAATCAGGCAAGTAGCATATTCAGAATTGGTTCTTTTTATAGGTCCATGGGTTTTTACAAAAATTAATGAGGTTAATGGACTTCTATACCATCATTTCTAAATTATATAGGAAACACAATTGGCTCCTCAAATGTTATGTTAATAAAACGGAACTGTAAGCTGACCAAACCAGTTACAATCTGTACAATCTTGATTACATTTACCAACAACTATGTAGCGCTTTTACTACATAGCTGCTGATAAAAGTAAACAAGATTATAACCAATTGGGTAGATCAGCAGATAGTAAATGCACCAGACATAAACCGTGAGAGTGCTGATTGGGGAAAAAAGGAAGCACCTTTTGAAATCCATGTTGCTGCAATCTGACTTTAGCAAAACTGAGTTTTGATATGGCTACTGGGTGTACCCTTGGCTCCACGTATTTTTCAATCAAGCCGAAAAAAATGTATAATTTTGAGTTGGACAATAACTTATTATTTTGTATCAAGGTGCTGATGCTACCTGGTTGGATATAATTGCTGGGGTATTAGAATTGAAGACGTGGCTTAGACCACCTAAAAAAAAAAAAAAAGTCTTTTAACATTACAGAACAAGTCCCATAGAATGTGACTATTACTAGATAAGGTCTGAGCGAAATAAACCTCCATGTTAAAGCACAGCAAATGGAGTACTCCTGAGACAGGAAACTTGCCTTGTCTTATGACAGGAAATGCCCTGGATTTTAACTTGGCTCAAATGGTATAGGCTGTTTTTCATCGTAGATTATCAGAAAACGGAGTAGGGAAGTAAGACTAAGTCATTATTCCTTCTGGTTTTTTTTTTTTTTTTTTCAGGTTGGATGCAGAACTTACAAATATGGGCCGCCATGTCCATTGTTATGTTGCTACTATTGCAACTCGCACACGCTGTCTGGACCAGGCCAAGACATTGCACTACACCAAGCTATCAAAGCAGCAGTTGGAAAAAAAACCTCTTCTGAACCGGAAAAGCCTTAGACGGCAAAGCCTCATTCGAGGTTGCCATTCTCATCAAATCAAGCATAGCGGTGTCCTTGTTCACCAGCCTTGTCAGCGTCGGTACAATTATTGAGTGTTGAATGGTTTAATTCTTTTCGTCCTTCACCAAAAACAGAAAAAAATCATAATTATTGGAGTATGTATTTTGTAGGAAAGAATCACAGATCTCCATTAGTTCACTCAGTGCCGTACCTTGTGCTAGATCGCTGTTCTGCTCTCACATCTTATAGCATTTCAAAATAGAATCCTGAAGTGATGAAGCATTAATTCCGTAAAATATTTAACATAATGAGTGATCTGGGGAAAATGTTACCAGCAAACTAAGGGTAGTGTCTGAAACCTAATGGTTTGCTTTTGTTTTGTCAAATGAAGCAGTTATTCTTTTTATATTGTATGGTAGCAAGAGGCAAAGTACATGAGTGCCTCCTAGGTGATTTAAACTCATGTGAGCAAAAATCACTCAAATTGATTGCAGATTTCTATGATATATTTTTTGTTTAAGAACCTGAGCCATTCACTTCTCTAGGTTTGCAGCAATTTGAAAATTCAAATGGTCAAACATCTGATAAGTGAATGGATGGTACCTTTAGTGATCACGTTTGTATGACATGAATGAGTCGCTCCCTGTCATTTGTACCTAATAATATGTTTTGGGCTACAATAGGTTGAGTTGTTAAATTTTGTACTGCCAATGAAATTAGGCTGCAAGTGAACATTTCAGATTTTCCTTTGTTCATTTTCAGCTATAAAAAATTGCACCTCCTATCATCTGTTACAATAGTTGATCACTGCTGGTCTGTCAGTAGAAATCTAGATACTGATGTTTGCGTTTTTTTTTTTTTTTTTTTTGTATGGATATGTTTAAAAAAAAAAAAAAAAGCAAAAAAAAAAATGTTATGCTTAGTTTTTCTGTATACCTATTTTGTTTTCTCAAAAATTAACTTTTTTCAAAGGCCAGGTTATCCATTTTGCATGGTTATAGGTAGGTTGAATTGTCTGCCTTTCTAGTATCTCTGGGTGCCAGCAGTACTACTTCCTGCAAAATAATGTGTCTGCCTCCTTCCTTTAAAAGGAGTTGTATAGTGGAAGCTGTGCCCTATCTGAATATTTTACTGGCTTACCATGCTTTGTTCTGCACTCTATTGGCAGGGCTTTGTTTCCGTTTGTCAGTACTGCCTTAGACTGGTAGGGTAATGAAGACAGCAGTAGAGGTGCAGAAAGAACAGATTCACTTGTGAAATAGAAACAGGGAGATCATTGCACGGTATGTGCTTGGATACAATTCCTCTCCAGCATGGAGAACCATGATCAACTCCTTAGTAACATTACTAAATCTGAGATAAGCAGCCATAGACAGCAGTGTCTTGGATCTTGCCTGCAGACAATAAAAAAAGAGATTTGAGTCACAGAGGTCAGGTGGTGTTTGTGTTTTTTTTGGTTTTGTTTTTTTTTCAGGATCATTTCAAGGCAAAAGGTTTCAGTGTCCTGATTAGGCAAAATGAACATTCTAGATTTTCCTGATAACCTTTCATAGATTCACTGTTTAAATTCTAGCCCACTTTAAGGCCATACAAGACATGTTGTTGCTGGATGCCCACATTAGTGATTCATCCCATACTGTTAAGAATCCATAGTCAAAATGAAATTTTCAATGCATACATGAACAAATATTTGTGGATAGAGTTGGCCTTTAGAGTTTAGTACAGAATGCGTGCAGACCTTCTGGATAGTGCTGTTGTTAGAGGGAGTCCTGCCAATTAAAACATTGAAAGACTTGGTTTGAGAAGTCCTAATCTTTTGCCTCTTCAAGTAGAACTATAGGCATTTTTTTTTTCTTGTTAATTTTGGATAGGGTAAGGGAGGGGTTTATTGTCATCTTTGCCTCATTGAGTAGATTTACCTTCACTTACTGTTCTATAGTCAAAACAGGAAGTGAGAGGAAATCCCTGTAAATTAAGCGAATCCCTTGCCCCCTTCCCCAGGTCACCAGAACTAGTGTACCCATTGAAAGATTTTCCATCTTTTACTCTTCTGGGGACAACCCAATATTTGTTTTTTGTTTTTTTTTTTTACTTTCACTGATAATGGTAAACAGGACAAATGGGGTGAATCTCTCTCACAGAGATGCAGACGGCAATGGAAAAAAAACTAATAGGTGTTCTAATCCATCTCTACTTGATCAAAGACTAAAATATAACTTAAGTCTAGTTTATATGTTGTAAATGGTCCACAAAGATTGACCTATTTTAATACTGTATTACAATCCTAAAGAGGCTTTAATGTTTGTTTTTTCACTACCAACGCAAAATGCTCATATGGACCTTCAAACTTTTTTTAATATGTGTGTATGTCTTTCAAACAGGCTGGGCTTGTGCTTGTTTTTAAACTGTGGGCATTCTACATATTGGGCATTGTATATAAATACTGTACATGTATAGGCCCAGTATAATACAGTCTTGTAAAACAATATTAGAAATATTTTTTAAAAACAGTTATGTCTGGTTTCTTTCCCTTTCCACGGTTACCATCTCTAATAGGGGAATGACCTATCTCCCTAATTTTCAACACTTATGGGTCATTTTTATAAAGCAGTCAGTGTGACTTTTACCAAACATGAACTGGTGGTGAATCATTCCCTGTCATGTAAAACACCTTGAACCTTAAAGATTCATCTGCAGTAAATGTTCGACGAATGTCAGTTTCTCCGACTTTTTTTATATAAATATGCCTGTTATAGTAGCATTCTGGCATATCTTTTAACGCTTACCACATTATTCCACTGGAGCATTTGCAAACTTTTTTTCTGTTGAATCAAAGTATGGTTTACAGAATTAATGTATTTTTGAAGGCATTTGTTTTTGTACTTTAACTTACTGAATGCCTTACTATAAAAAAAAAAACCTTATGTATTTGGATATTTATATATTCATAGACTGTGTACATTGTTTTAGGAATGTTACCATCTACTTGTTGATCTAGATCTGTATAATATGTTTTTTTACATCTCTGAATCCAGTTGTGTGACTTCACCAGTGAACAACTCATGGACTGTATAGCTTTCCTCCAAGAAAAAACCCATAAAAAGCCTTTGAAAATCCCTACTGACAGTGGTGTGTGTGTGTGTGTGTGGGGTGGGGAGGGGGGGTGTTTGGTTTAGCCCACTGCTTCAGTTGCCTTCCTTTTTTACAATGTTGAGGTGTCACCCCCAAACCCACCACACACACACACACACCCCTCTCATAACTAACAGAAGACCTTATCCTATGTCTGTTTTTGCTCACTAATAGACTAGTTTTGTTTCCTTGTTCTTTATATGGTTGCAGTAGCATGTTTTGACTATAGGAGCTCTGATATCTGTTTCCACCAGCAGGTATTGATTTTGAAGAAAAACTTGCTCCATTGGAAGACGATTTACCAGTGTTTCATACAGGCACCTGCAGCAGTGGGCGAAAATAAGGGAAATCTTTCTTGAAAGGAACCTGTGGGCTGCCGTTATTTCTCATTCTACAAATGCTATTTTCCTGGCTGTCATGCTAATCTACTGGCTTCAATACTTGGTCACAGACAAGGAATAAGTATGTAGAGAAGGATTTTTGACTTTTCTGATCTGCATACTTGTTTCAGGCCAGAGACTCACAGTACTGAAGCCGGTGGATCAGCATAGTAGCCAGGCAACTCACATCTTAAGAAGGATGTTTTTGGCAAGAAAATGTCACTTTTTAAAGATTTCTGTACACAAACATTTCAGCACTTTATAGAACTACGTTCACCATAGAAATCCAGTTTTATATTTATTTAATATACCATCATATTACATGTATTTAATTCTCCATTTCTTTGTAAAAAGAAGACATTATCTCCTCTTTGCTTATTTATTGCATAAAAATGAGGACAGGGCAAGACCTAACAGCTGATTGCTATCAGCCTTGACCTTGCCTTGAGCAATTTTTGGGGAAAAAGAGAAAATGTCCTCACTTTGTTCACTGTTTTTTTTTTTTTTTTTTTTTTTCTCTTCAATCTCATTTTATCTTATTTTCAGTTACATTTGTCAAGAACTGGTTATGGGCTTGTGCACATGGTTAGAGAGTCTGCTCATTAATTCTTCACACTGGGCTTATCTCCACACAGTGAACCATTCATTGAGTTGTTCTGCATTGGCTCATTTAGTGTTGGCCATGTACATCCAGTTGTGTGCAGCCAGGTGTCTTCCATTCAGCATTCGTTCTGAATGCTCATGTGTGTTTGGTATGCAATGGAATGGAGCTGTATTCGCTTTGTGTTGAACAGAGCTTAGTGCACTGGTGTAGACCAGCCTCTAAGGTTGGCACAGTCAGTCTACCAGCCTTAAGACAAATCCCTGCTACTGCTTGCTAGGCTTGTTGTGAAGTTGGAGCTAATACCTGGACATTAATGGGTATTGATGGTCAGTGCCTGTAACAGTGTCACCAATAGTGATGCTTGCTGTCTTTTGAATCACGTGCAGTCTGTACATGTTTAAGGTGGAACTCCACAAAAATTATTAGTGGTCTTCAAATATTCAAATAATTAGTGGTGCAATTTTGCAGTGTGACAGAATTGCCTAGAAATTTAAGCAAACTCTTGTAAAGCTGGACACCCAATAAGGAGCTTCTTTTGGGTGACAAATGTGCATAGGGCAGCCCATTGAAGTGAATGGATTGCCGTGTCCGTTACACATGGAAGCGCACAAAAATCACACTTGTTCCTGCTACATGAGATCTGAACAGAACCTTAATAATTTTCATAAATGAAAACAAGTTTACATTTTTTTTTTTTTTTTTTTTTTTTTTTACAAGCACCTACATTTTCATTATACTGTATAGGCTTCTTGTAATGACCTGTACGACAAGTGTCACACTGAGAGTGAGAGAGCCTATTGGAGTTCTATTGCACTGCTCAGTCCTGTCAGTCTCATGATGCAAACATGCATACAGAAGTTAATGGCACTGGAACAGCTTCACAAAGGTTCTGCAACTCCATTGTTCAATCAGCAGGATTGTGAAAGGAGAGGTGACTACGGAAGGAGAACTTCAGCAGAGACATTTTTCCTATACT